CGGGCCTAGACCCTTCATCAGAAAAGCTTTTCTGATGAAGGGTCTAGGCCCGAAACGTCAGCCTCTCTGCTCCTATGATGCTGCTTGGCCTGCTGTGTTCATCCAGCCCTGCACCTTGTTGAGTCAGTGGAGGTAGATTGGTTCCCTCGCCTAACAAGAATCTAAGATTATCTGAGGTAAATGCAAATGTGGAATTTGAAGCACAAACAGATCAGGCATAATTTCACCGAATAGTAAAGCAGACTATTCTGCCCCTATTTCATATGTTAGTATGTTTGCGCTAAAGTAGACTAGAATATTTGTTTAGCTTGATGAGAAAGGAGAAATCCCCAGTGCAATCCTCACATTGCAAGTCAGTTCTAGAATCAGGAATGACCTAGTTGGGAAAACAAAAAGGAAGCAGTCCATTGAGAGCAACACAATAGCTTTAAGCTGTTTACAGAAGAATGAAATGTCCACTTTATGGACAGACCTAAGCATAACTGTTGTCAGGGATTGTTGGCTCTATTCAAAATTACATGGATGAATCTTCTGTTATTGGAAGAAAAGGCTGCTTACTAAATAATGTTCATAAATATTGCATTTAATTAGTTTGTTTAGATGAAAGTCTTAGGCATTGAAATCTTGCATGATCCTTCCTGTCAGTTACTTCAAGTTCAAATATCTTTTTAAAAGTTATCAGTCTTTACAGAAATTCTAACATAATTGTATATTAAAAGAATTATTATATTTGACACCAAAGGTTTATTGTACCCCTTTTGTTTTTAAGGTAGTCCAACTCCAAACTAAGGTGTCCAAACATAGTTACAAATTCCCAATACAATTCCTGAAAAGGAAACAGAACAAATGAAAAACCTTCTGTACTTAACCAAAATTAAGAACATAATCTTTACCTTGTTGCAAACATGGCTCTCAAAGATGAGAAAGTAGCAGCATCTTCTTTTAAAGCCTTGAGTTCATTACGCAGCTTCAATATGGTCTCAGTGACCATAGCTTTCTCGATCTCATATTTACTTTTTAGATTTGTAAGGGCTACCTCAGCAGTCTAAAGGATAAATACAACTTTATAAAAATCATGCAAAAATATTAATTATTAAATTAAAAATGCAATGTAGAACTATAAACTATTTGCATTAATGGTGATAATTAAATTTGAGCTGTTGAAGGCATTGTAAAAATTGTGCACATGAACACCATTTCCATTACATGTAGATTTGGGATGATGGCTACATTAATTGAAGTGCACTTGAAAATAAGTTGGTGAACATTAATAGCTCACTGATTAAAGTTAAATTTGTTGATGATCCTACCAACTAGATATATATATAACTAAAGGTTTGATTAAGCCACAATTATTATTGAAGCGTGTGTACCTCATAGTTTGAAATGTTTCCTACCTGCTTGTTCGCTTTGAGTACTGTCCTCAGTGTTGCTATTTGCTCTCTCTTGGTACTTAACAAGGACTTCAGTTTCAAGATCTCATCCATAAATACTTCTTTGTCTTTGTCTGCCGCTGGCCCGAGTTCAGGTGATGCAGGACGCTGTTTGGATAGTTCTGTTGATCTATCAACTGCTTTTTGAAGGTGCTTGATTTGGTCTCGAATGACAGCAATCAGGTTGTAAATGTTCATTGGCTCTTTACGTGGATCACTGGAGTAAGACATTGGGGAGGGCAAAGGTGAACCAGATGATGATACAGTGTCTCCATTACCATTTTCAATTTTTCCCATCTCTCCTGGAAAAAGTCCCTTTGTCAGCAGAACTGGTGATCTTCTTTCTTTACCTTCTGGACTACTGCGAACACCTTTGCCTTCCTTGAAGTAATCCAGAATCACCCGGTTGGGTGTCTCATTGTTGCACATACAAACATGGTTGTACAGATTTGCCAATTCTTCACTGAAAGTGACCAGCTCATCTTGAGCAACAGTCAAGCTACCTTGGGTTCCTTCAGCTACCTCACTCACTTTCTTCAGTTCCTTTTCAAGACAGATTACCTGGTCCCGGTCCTGTTTATTAGTTTTTTCCAGTAGTGCAAGTTTTTCTGTCAATACTTGAATTTCACTTTCATTTCTTGCCTTCTCTTTCTCATATTTGTTCTCATTATCAGTGTACTTGGCCTTCAGATTTTTTAGTTCTTCCTTTAGTTCATTTACATCAGCTATCGCTACCTTGTACTTGCACTCCAGAATCTCAGGTCCATTTATGTCTACCTCATAGTAATCTCCATCTTCATGACTGTCTCGCTCTTTCTCATTATCAAGTGAAGTTTGTCGTTCTTTGCTAGCCTGCAGTTTCTTCATAGCACTGACATGCTCGGTGAGTCTGCTAACTTTTTCATGCTGTTCTGACAAAGCACCTCTTGCATGTTCTAACTGCTTTTGGGACTCTTGGAGAGTAGCAAGTAAGGTGGTCTTCTCCCTTTCTACCTAAAATGCACAGCAGTAATAAAGTTAAGAAATAATGAAAAAAACATTGCATTAATATCAGACTTATCACACCTCCAGGGCATCTCAAAGCACTTTACAACCTGAAATAATTTGAAGTGTAGTCACTGCCACAGTATAAGAAAATATGACGATCGAGTTGCGCACACCACTGTCCTATAATAGCAATGAAATAATGATTGGAAAAGCTGTATTTCAGTGAAGCTGGTAATGGATTAATATTAACTGAAGTGCGAGAGATCTCAGGCAAACCATTTACTAATTTCATCCATAAATATGGCATATTGAAAAAGAATTATTTATAAAATTATACAATTAGGCTCTGGGAAGTGGTCACAAAACAGTGAACTATAAAGCAGACTATTCAATATATGTCCTAATTGCCAAAACCACCTCTAGTCTAAAGTACTCATATTCCTACTTTGGTGGAAATCTATTATCAAGCACACTTGTACGTAGCTATGGATTTTGAGGGCTGACATTTTATTTCCAGGTCCCAAGTCTGCCATCACAATGAACTGAGAGTTGGAAACCCATTAATATTTGCAGTAATATCCAGAGGAGAACTGTGTAGGTAGCAGGTATTTAATTATCAGTTTATGGAAGTCCTGGCCGATTCAGAATAGCAGAGTGGTCCCAGGAAGTGGAAGGTTAAGGGGAGAATGCCAGCACAAATAGAATATCAGTCTCAATGTCAGAGGTAGGAGCTGTTACAATAGATAGGAGATGTTAAGGTCACCTCCATTTCAAGTTGCCAGCCACAAATTAGCTAAGCAAGACAATCAGGAGGGCTGGGTCCAGAAAGTTAGGGCCTTTAGGCATTGAAGGCAAAGCTCTCCATAGTAATAAACACTGCAGCAACAGTCGCTGATGTTTAGAGTGGCAGCTGCAGGTTTTGTTGACAATTCTAGCTGCATTGCAAACTGAGAGGCTTCATAATGGTCTCCTGACATGATTGGTAGCCTATCCTCTGAACTAAATATATAGTCATGGTCAGGAAATTACTCTTAAGCCATCTGGTGGCTTAATTACCCACCATGTTCAGATGGATGGCTGTGTACAAGACCTGACAACTCTCCAAAATTACGAGCAGTTAGGACCATATGAGACTTGGGAGCATGAAACCGTAACTTCACTTGCCTCCTCAGCCAAATTAAATTTCTGCAACATTAAATGATAAATCTCAGTGGGAAACAAAAATTGTGTTTGCTTCAATGGATCGTTCAGGTAAGCAGTTTTCTCTTTGTTAAAAGACATTTGCTTTAAAAGTACAGCAGCAACCCAATATCCAAAGCTTCAGAAGTCTGTTGCATTATTTTAGTTATATGATGCAACTTGATCTATAAAAAAAGCTTCTATTATTGGAGAGTTTTTCAATTCTTAAGATATACTTAAAATAGGATTAAGACTGCCTCTTGAACTGCATGCAAGTTTTTACTGCACCAAACTTTGAACAATGGTTTAAAATCTTTCAAGCCAGGTATAGCTTAAATGCAGCAGCTTTAAAATTTGAAACAGAACAGGGTCTACATAGATAGGGTCTATAAGATGTTTCAATAAACATTTATATCTAATGTTACTGCATTAATTCATCATGGTATCTGTACTGGTCCCCATCCACAGAGGAGGTAATGGTCTATAGGTATTATCACGAGACTATTAATTCAGAAACTCAGCTAATGTTCTGGGGATCCGGGTTCGAATCCTGCCACAGCAGATGGGATTACATTAAAATTTGGTTTCAATTAATAAAAATATCTGGAATTAAGAATCTATTGATGACCATGAAACCATAGCCGATTGTTGGAAAAACTCACCTGGTTCACTAAGGTCCCTCAGGGAAGGAAATCTGCCATCCTCACCCAATCTGGCCTACACGTGACTCCTGATCCACACCAATGTGGCTGACTCTCAATTGCCCTCTGAAATGGCCTAGCAAGCCACTCAGTTCAAAGGCAGCTAGGAACAGGCAATAAATGCTGGCCAGCCAGCGATGCCTGTGTCCCACAAGTGAATAAAAATAGTGCAATAATTTCAGCATGCTATAATACTGTTTATTTATGAATTTAAAGCAAATGGTTAAACTGAGTTCTCATTTAATATATGAAAATGTTTATGCCAAATATTGTTTTGGCTACACACAATTTTAAAATACAACATTACTATGCATCTTGAAAATATAACTATCCTAAATAGCACTTCTGATTAACAAAGTTGAAGGTAGTGATAAGTTACTTCTTAGCATCCTTACAAAAAGGAGAGAAGTATATAGCATAATATTGCACCACTTGCTGGATATTATAGCCTATTTTTTAGAAGGGCACCACAACGTCCTATTTCAGATCATTTAAATCTAGGTGATTTCTACCTAGATCTTAGATTTCACAATAATAGTTATATCATCAGGTGTTTGCACTGAAAACCAGCAAGTTCACATAAGAAATGGCAGGGAATCAGTGGGGACATCATCCAGATCATTTCTTTAATTATATAACTGAATCACTGGCTCAAGAACATAATGTGCAAAAACTTCACCATACTGCATTCTCAGTAGAAAAATCTCAAAGTGAGAAATAATGTAGAGATGGCAGAACAATGTAAATTAAATTATTATACTGTTAGTTAATACAATTATTATTGAATTGTGTTTTTAATGACTATTTAAGAAATATTGCAATACTCTGTGCAGCAAATACTCCTGCATGCATTTTAGGAATGTTGTTTTCAAAAAAACTGAAACAAACCAGCACAAATTATCTGGAAGAAAATGTATATAACTTGATCAATTTAAGGGTTGAATGTTTCAGAAAAGCCCTTTTGTCCAATTGTATAATTTTACTTTTCATCAAGTTTTATTTGAGCAAAAGAACTATGTAAATCAAGTTACATATGCCAATATATGAACATATATATGAACATATGAAGTAGAAGCAGGAAGAGGCCATTCAGGCCCGTGCGCTTGCTCCATCATTCAATAAGATCATGGCTAGTCTGATTGCTCCACTTTCCCATCCATCTCCAATAGGCTTTCTTTCCCTTGTTTATCAAGTATCCACTTACTCCTGTCTTAAAGACTGCACTTCCACGGTCTTTTGAGGAAGAGTTCTAAATTCAGAGGAATCATTTCTTCTTATCTGTTTTAAATCTGCAACCTCTTACTTTGAAAGTAATTGTTAATTCTAGATTCTCCCACAAGAGAAAACATACTTTGCACATCCACCAAGAAACACACCATTCCTTCAAGGTCATTGGGACAAAATCCCGTAACTCCATACCTAAGAACACTGTGGGTGCACGTACATCCCAAAGACTGCAGTGGTTCAAGCAGCAGCTCACCACCACCCTTCTCCAAGGCAATTAGGGATGCATGACAAATGTTGGCCTAGTTAACGATATTCACATCGCATGAATGAATGCTAGAGAACGGTCAAGACTCCTCAGGACCAAGTGTTTCAATCAAGCCGACACTTACTCTAAACTGCAGTAGATACAAGCCTACAAACATGGCCTTCTAAAAAACTTTCCTCAAAAGACAACTTGCCCAATCCAGATATTAGTCTGGTTTGAAGCAATTCAGAGATTCACTAATGTCCTCTTCAAGCTGCTTGGCTGGTCTGAGATTCTGTGCCCAGTTCCAGTGTCACTCTTGTCAATCAGAAAAGGACCCATTTTAAGTTGACCATGCTGGTTAGTTAGCCAATCTGTCTATGCTACTATGTTACTCCTTACACTACAAGCTCTTATTTTCCACAATAACCTTGGATGAGGCACATATCAAATGCTTTCTGGAAATCCAAACACTGATCATAGGCCTCTGAGGCACAGTGGTAGTGCCCTACCTGAGCCAGGAGACCCAAGTTCAAGTGCCAGAAATGTAATAACATCTCTGAACAGGTTGATTAGAAAATATCCCAACATATTGATCAAATGCCCTGTAAAAACAGTTTACGCTACTTCCTCAAAAATAATCCAACAGGGCAGTTAAATATAATCCTCATTCCTCAAAATAGTGTTGACTCTGCCTGAAGCCTTGAATTTTTATAACTGTCCTACTATAACATCTTTACTAACAGCTTCTAACATCTTCCTGAAGACAGATGTGAAGTTTCCTGCTTTGTCTCCTTTTTGTATTAGCAAGTTACATTCGTTATTTTCCAATGTAACGGAACTTTACCCGAATCTAGGGAATTTTGGAAAATTAACAGCAATGCATCAATGATCTCACTAGTCACTTATTTTCACACCCTAGGATGAAGTCAGTCGGGACTCAGGGCACTTGTTAGCCAGCAGCTCCAAATATTGCTTAAAGCATGCAGGATGCCTGTAGAAAACTGCTGAAAAGGAAACAGGAAACTAACAAAATGTTCACTTAAAGTCTGCTCTGTACATCGCTCAATTTATGTAAAAACAAACTATCAGTGAAACCATCCAACATCAACCATGGAGTAACCATTTTCTTGCCAGTATTTTACTAAATTGTTCAAAATATTACATAATAATTACAAATATAAAATAAGTTATAACACTAAATCTGATTAAATGATCATAAAGTGATACATAGGAAGTTCATAAAACTGCCAAACTCAGCATGTAACAATTAAAAAAAAAAACATATACCTGCATCAGCTGCTGTTTCAGTTTTTGAATTTCAGAAATATTCAGTTCACTTAGCAAATCGGACACCAAACTTGGTGCTGGCTTAAAGACATCATTTTTCTTAGGAGTGGGGAGCTTATTATCGCCATTCATTTTGCTGAGGCTGTTGTTTTCATAACCATTAACCATCTCATCATTGTTTGGCTCATTGCCATCATCGCTAAACTTCAATCCATCCAGAGATATATTCAATTGACTAGTATACATCGAATCATTGATATTCATATAGTGAGATAATTCTTTCCGCATATTGTTCTTCTGTTCACGCTCATTCTTCAACGTCTCCAGGGATTCCTCAAGTTGGCGTTCTGCTATTTCTTTCAGTCTGATGGCATCTTCTAATTGGCTGTTGAGGAATTCTGTATCTTCCTCAAGTCTTTTAATTTCATGTTTAAGACCTTCAAATTCAACCTGCATTGTAACAATGTAACAAAGTAACAATCTTAAATTTCTGAGCAGAGTGACATTCTATGTTCACTAGTAATCAAATTTATGGTTGAACTGAGCTCTCAGAAACTCTATCCATAAATATGTCGGTGTTTATCTGCACAACATGGGGTAAAGGAATATGCAAATTCAAAAACCTTTCATTTGTTTGAATAACTGGTTATTTCAAATAAAAAAAATCATGAATTGTGAATACAAGAACAAACGCACCTAGAAAATTTCTCCATTCCTGTAACAGCGAAGAACTTTTCGAATTATTGCTTTTTTAATATATATTTTCTAATGCTATGGTCAGGCACTGTGCAAGATGTGCCTTATTGTGAAGTAACAGATTCTCATTTCATGACTTGTGTAATTGAAGCAGTACTGTGCAATGTCAACATTGGACAAAGGTGAATACTTTCTGGTCTAGCATAGAAATACTTCCTACTTTTCAAAAGTTAAATGTTTAAGGACTGTACGAAGTACAGTTTTAGTCAAAGTCAATGCTCTGCTGATAAATACTGCATGAGTTTAGTATGACTTCACTTTGATGTCAGTAAACATTAAAGGAAGGAGAGAGAAGTTGGGCCATTCTGAGCTTTGAACTGTTAAGCAAGAATGCTGCAATTATTTTGCCTATTTTTCTGATCAAAAGAAATGTGATGTTGCCAGTAGTGCCATGTTGGCTCATTCCAAGGTCAAAACAAGTTATAGCTTCTTATTTCCCTACTCTCTATCTTTACCTTTCAATGCATCCATGCTGTTCACCCAAACTACTCGCTGCAGTAGCTTGTACCACTTTTTCATGAAGAATTCTCTCTTAAGAGTATTGAATTTATTACCAACTAACTTATAATAAAAAATCCCATGGCTTTGCTGGCTAATAGCCCTCAAGAAGATGAGCTGTCTTCTTGAACGGAGCTGCTGTGATGTAGGTCCACACAAACGACTGCGAGGAAGGATGTTCCAGCATTTTGAGCTAGCAGTAAAGGAACAGCAATATGATGTCAGGATGGTGGGAGGCTTTGAGAGGAACTTAAAGTCATACAGTGCAGAAAAGACCCTTCAGCCCATCAAGTCTGCACTGACAATAACTATCACTAAAGGCATGCTGATCCCAATTTCCTGTACTTGTCCCATATCCTTGTATGTTATGACATTTTGTCTTCATCCAAATACTTTTTTAAAGGTTTAAAGATTTATACTACCTCTACTACCTTCCCTGGCAGTGTGTTCCAGATTCTCACCACCCACAGGGTGGAAATGTTTTTTTCTCAAATCCCCTCCAAACTCCTGCTCCTTTCCCTAAAACAATGCCCCCTTGTGATTAACAGCTCAACCAAGGGGAACAGCTGCTCCCTCTAACTACCCATACCCCTCCATCTTAGAAACCTCAATCAGGTTTCCACCACACCCTGTTCTCTCCTTAAAGCTCAACTGCTCCATCCCAGGGAACTCCATGCTGAACGTCTTCCATACCTCCTCTAATGCAATCACATCCTTCTTGTAGTGAGGTGATCAGAACTGCACACAGTACTCCAGCTGTGGCCCAAGCAAAGCTCACAACAACTCCAATACTACCTCCTTGCTCTTATACTCTATGCCACAACTGATGAAGGCAAGTGTCCCATGTGCCTTCTTAACTATTTTATTCACTTGCTCTGCCAACTTCAGGGATCTGTGAAATAACTACCCCAAGACCCCGCTGGTCCTCTAAGCTACCCAGTAACTTGCCTTCATTAAATACACCCTCATTTTGTTTTTTCTTCCAAAGTGCATCATCTCACAATTTTAGGGCTAAATACAATCTACCACTGGTCGACCCATCTGACCAACCCATCTACATCTTCCTGTAACCTACAACATTCTTTGTCACTATTAACCACTCTACCAATCTTGGAGTCATCTGCAAACTTCCTTAACATTCCCTCCCATATTTTCATCTAAATAATTTCTATATATAAAAATAAACAATAAGGGTCCTCGTGGAACCCCTCTGGATACAAGTCTCCAGTTACTAGAACAGCCTTCTACCACTACCCTTTGCATCCAATTACTAAGCCAGTTTCTGATCCATCTTGCCAAGTTTCCCTCAATTCCATGTGCTTTAATCTTCTCTGCCTCCCGGGTAGGACCTTGTCAAAAGCTTTGCTAAAATCCATATAAGCCACATTAACTGAACTTACCTCACCCACACACACGAGCATTTTTTTGGAAAATTCTAAAAATTTGTTACGCATAACCTCAGTTCAACAAAGCCAAGATGCCGATCCCTAATTAAGATATGCTTTTCAAAGTGGGTATTAATTCTCTCATTCAGTATTCTCTCCAACATCTTCCCTACCACTGACATGAGACTCACTGTTCTGTAGTTTCCTGGTTTATCTCTACCACTTTCCTTGAAAATGGAACCACATTAACTGTCCTCCAGTACTCTCATACTTCCCCTGTGGAGAAGGAGGAATTAAAATTTGAGTCAGAGCCCCTGCAATTTCCTGCCTTGCCTCTCAGAGCAGCCAGAGATGCAATTCATCCAAGCCAGGGAATTTTTCTGTTTTTAAGTCCATCACAGCCTCCAAAACCACCCCATTTCCTGTGTCAAACTGTGCAAGTTCCTCAGTCCCTTTTCCTAAATTTCCTATCCATGTCTCCTTTTCCAAATTGAAGAGAAGTATTCATTCATCATCCTTCTAATATCCTGTGGCTTCACACATGGACTGCTCCCTTGGCCTCTAACGGGCCCTACTCTTCCCCTGGTTAACCGCTTCCCTTTCATTTACTTATAAAATATCTTGGGGTTCTCCCTAATCCTGTTTGCAAATCCTTTTTCATGCCCTCTTTTTGCCCTTCTAACAGCTTTCTTTAGTTCCCTCTTGAACTTCCTACATTCTCTAGAGCCACAGCCAAATTGCTCCCTTTGGACTGGCTAAAAGCCTTTCTATTCTTCCTCATCCAGTCCTGAATTGACCTCGATATCCAGAGTTTCATTAACATATTGCTCCTATATTTCACCCTAAAGGGTACATGTTGGATCTATACTCTCCCTTTTCTGAATGTCCCCAAGACTGTGCTGTAGACTTACCTGCAAGGTGTTGTTCCCAGTTAACTTTCACCAGATCCTACTTTATTTTAATAAAATCTGCCTCCTCCCAATCCAAAGCCGTCTTTTGCAATCCATCTTTCTCCTTGTCCGTACTCTGTTGTGGTTGCTATCACTAAAATGTTCCCCCACTATGACGTTGAACATTTGTCTGGCTTTGTTCACTAGAACCTGATCCAGCACTGTGCCACCCTTTGTTGGGCCTTCTATATATGGATACAAAAAAACTCCCCTGAATACATTTCAAGAAATCCACCCCCTCTAAATCTTTAACACTATGACTACCCCAATTCATGTTGGGAAAGTTGAAACCCCCTAGTATAATTACCCAAGTATTACTCATACATACCTCTGTGAACTGTCTACATATTTGCCACTGACTCTTGGGGGGCCTATGATACTTTCCCAGTAATGGTGACAGCCCCCTAACATTCCTAAGTCTCTCCACAAAGCCTTGTTTGAAGACGTTTCTAAGATATCATCTCTTCTTATTGCAGTAATTGACTCCATAATTAATAGTGCTACTCCATCACCCTTTTTTTTTTTTAAAAACACCCTCCTCTGACTTGCCTAAAGATCCTATACCCCAGAATGTTGAACTGTCAGTCCTATCCTGCCCTCAGCTATGTTTCTGTGATGGCAACAAGATCCACTCCCATGTGCTAATCCACCCCTTTAACTCATCAGGCTTACCTATTACACTCTTAGCATTAATGAAAAGATCACCCAGCTTTGCCTTACTGTCTTGTCACTCTCAATAGCTGAACTCACTATGACTTGCTTCCTTTGCTATAGCATGATGTGCCTCTATTTCATCAATATTCTGTGCCCACTCTCCCTGCCAGACTAATTTAAACTCCTCCCAACATCATGAGCAAACCTACCTGCAAGGATGTTGGCTCCAGTGCAGTTCAGGTGCAGACTGTCCCATTTGTAACTTCCATAAAAATCCAGTGACCCAAGAGTCTAAAACCCTCTCTCTTGCACCAGATAATCGAGCTGTACATTCATCTGTTCTATTTTCTTATTTCTATACTCACTAGCACATGACACCAATCCAGAGATTAGAACTATTGAGTTCCTGCTTTTTAATCTACTACTTAGCTGCCTGAATTCTTAATGCAAGATCTAATTTCTCACTTTGCCCATTGCTACTAATATGCACCACAACCTCTAACTCATCACTCTGCCCTCTCAGGATGCTCTGCAGCTGCTCAGTGACATCCCTGACCCTGGCACCAGGGAGGCAACACACCATCCTGGAGTCAGGTCACAATATTCTGGGAAGGAGACGACTGGCTAATTAACTCAATAGGCTTCTTTATGCTATGCACAACACCAACCAGTGAAGAGATTTCTCCAGTTTCCTGTTTTACCCGGTGTCCCTAATACCACATTTCACAAACTATTGACTTGATAGAGTGTAGTACTCTGAACTCAAATTTAGCTCTTTTGCCTATGTTCTAACCAAGACTCTAATAAGGAGCTTAGGGGGCCCTGGCAGAACCCAAACTGAGCAGGTTGCTTACAGTCTCTAGTTCTGGTTCTCCAACAGTTCTCCAACATTTTCTCCACTTCAACAGTTCTTCCACTATCCTGACGGGCCACTATCAAGTCACCACTTAGCTTCCTGTTTTCTAGGAGTCCAAATCTGTTCAGTGTTTTAAGACGAAGTTCTAGTATAATTCTTGTGACTTTTGTTTGTATCTTTTCCAAAGTGAAACTCAGAAGGCACACAAGGGAGGATTTTATAACTCACCTGGTTTTGTTTAAGTACAGAGACTTGTTTCTGAAGAGAGATGTTTTCATCTTCAAGCTCAGAGTAATCTTGCAAAAGCCTTGCTTCACGGAATTTATATTCTTTAATATCATCACGTAGGCGATTCCTCTGGAGCTCCACAACTTGACTGCTCTAGAGAACAAAAATAAAATTTCAAACTTTATCCAATTTGAAAATCCAGACAACCTGCTAAGTTTGCATTGTTTTTAAACCATTACCAGCAAATAAATTCTGTCATCACAAAACCAGATTAAAGGTGTAATGACATAATTTTTCAGTTTATGGTTAAAACTTAATAATTTTAATCACTGAATCACCATCTCATTAACCAGGTATGAATCAATCAATCAATCTGAAGATTGAAAAGTTCACGGTTCATGCAATACCCAATGAAAATTACCTTGGTTTTTGCTTAGACAATGCAGTCCTATCTTGTTCCATGGCAAATAAGTTTAAAATTAGTAACTATTGTATGCTGCAAAATGGCACATTAATGTTTGTTTGATATAGTGATCCATTACTTATGAAAGCACTCAAAAACCCAATAATTATATACTGTATCATTTCCATGTTCAGAAAACAGATGAACAAAAAAATTCATAAATACATAAATAAGACTTAGATTATGGCTAGTTGAGCTCCAGTGGTGCTACTTCAGAGCGGAGATTAGAACGGAGATAAGGTGTGGTGTAGAAATCAGTGTGAATTACTCCCTAGTAATAACCATGCAAGCAACAATGTATTAATAGTCTCATGGTGAGCAGACGTTAGATCCCAAAAAGCAGACACAAAGAATACGCCTTTTCTTTCAAGGTACACATGTAATGCATCTACAAAACATCTTTGAACACATAGCCAATTCATACAAAAATATCAAAGCTTAAAACAAATAAACGTTAATGCTATTTCACAGAAGATATAAATATGCACTGGATTCCTGACAAAAACTCAAAAATACTGCTTCTAATTTTATTTCTTTTATGATTTAGTCAGCAAAGCCAATTACAGACTCAAGTACTTGTGAAGAGTATATTTCTACTTCTGTTCAGAAGCAATAGTAGTAAATTGGTCTAGTATAGCTGCTTTCATCTTTTTAAAATTGAGGCCCTAAAGTGTGGAAATTAATCTCAATGGTTCTAAATAATAATTTTAAATGAGAAAACTACAGAGGACAGGTTGTTTAAACATGGAGGATACCAAACCACTAAATGGCAGATTGGGCTTTCTTCATGTTGGGAAAATTGAAGCTAGAAGAAATAGTCCTTACAAGAAGCAAGGGGTCACTGGAAGAGAGGCAGATTGTAATCAGATTCTGGATGTTGACTGGTCCTCCAAGAGTGGAATGTGGGCACCACTCGCTGGCCAGCATTTATTGCCTGTCCCTAGTTGCCCTGGAGAAAACAGTAGCGAGATATCTTACTCAACTGCTGCAGTCCACCTAGTGTGGGATGACCCTGAACATCATTAGGGAGGGAATATCAGGATTTTGATCCAGTGATAGTGAAGGAAATGGAGATACATTTCCAAATCAGGATGGCTAGTGGCTTGGAGGGGAACTTGCAAACTGTGGTATGTATCTGCTGCCTTTGTCCTTCTAAATGAAAGGGATTGTGGACTTGGAAGGTGCTGCCTGAGGATCATTGACAAATTACTACAATGCATCTTCTAGATAGTACACACTGCTCTTCCTGAACAATGGTGGTGGAGGGAGTGGATGCTTGTGATGTGGTGACAATCAAGAAGCTGCTTTGTCCTGGATGGTGTCAAGCCTCTTGATTGCTGTTGGATCTGTACCCATCCAAGCAAGTGCGAAATATTCCATCACACCCCTGACCTGCACCTTGTAGGTGGTAGGCAGGCTTTGGGCAGTCAGGAAGTAAGTTACTCACTACATATTCCTGGCTTTTGACTTGTTCTTGGAGCCACTGTATTTATATGGCAAATTCAGTTGAGTTTCTGGTCAACGATAGGCCCCATGATGCTGATAGTGGGCATTCAGTGATGTTAATGTCATTGACAGTCAAGGGGCAGTGCTTAGATAGCCTGTTATTAGAGACGATCATTGCCTGGCACTTGTTTGGTGACAATGTTAATTAACACTTGTCATGCCAAGCCTGGATATTGTCCAGGTCTTGTTGCATTTGAACCCGACTGCTTCAGTATCTGAGAATTAGGGAATGGTTATGAACATTGTGCAGTCATCAGCAATAATCCCCACTTCTGACCTTATGATGAAGTTGCTTAAGAAGGCTGAGCCTAGAAATGTCCCCGAGAAACCCTGCAGAGATTTCACGGAGCTGAGTTACAGCAACCAAACCATCATCACTGTGCCAGATGTAACACCAACCAGTGGAGAGTTTGCCCCCGTCCCACCCCCAAATTGCCATGGATTCCACTTTTGGTAGGGAGCTTTGATACAACTCACACAAATACAGCCCTGATGTCAGAGATGGTTACACTCAACTCACCCCTTTTGTTCATGTTTGAATCAAAGCTGTAATGTGGTCAGGAGCTGAGTGGCACTGGCAGAACCCAAACTGGCTATCAGTGAGCAGGCGTTGCTTGGCAGGTGCTGCTTGATAGCTCTGTTGATGATATATTCCATCACTTTACAGATAATCAAATGTAGACTGACAGAGCGGTACTTAGCCCGGTTGTATTTGTCCTGCTGTATGTGTAAGGACATACATAGTCAATTTGCCACATGGTCAGGTAGCTGCCAATGTTCAGCTATACTGGAACAGCTTGGTTAGGGTTGTAGCAAGTTCTGTGGCACAAATCTTCAGTATTATTGCCTAAACATTGTTAGGGTCCACTGTCTTTGCAATATTCAATCCCTCCAAATGTTGCTTGACATCACATGGAGTGAATCAGTCTGGCTGCAGACTGGTATGTGATGCTGGGACCACTGGGAAGATGCCAAGATGGATCATCCATTTGGCACTTCCTGGCTGAGGATTGTTTGGGTTCTTCCATTCTGGAGGATGGGGATATTTATTTGTGGAGCTTCCTCCTCCAGTTAAAGTATCCACCAGAATTCGTGACTGAATGTGGCATAACTGCAAAGATTATATCTGATCTGTTGGTTGTGGGATTGCCTAGATCTGTCTATCACTGCTGCTTATGCTGTTTGGCATGCAAGTTGACCAGTTTGGTAGTTTCACCAGGTTGATACCTCATTTGCACTTATGCAGGCTGCTGCTTCTGCTATGCCCTCTTGCACTCTCCATTGAACAAGGGTTATCCCCTGGCTTGATAGTAATTGTTGAGTGAGGGATATGCCAGGCCTTTAGGTTTCAGAGTTTGTTGGAGTATGATTTGCTCTGTTGATGGCCCACAGTGCCTCATGGACACTCGGTCATTAGTTGCTAAATCTGATCAAGGACTGTCTCATTTAACATGGTGATAGTGCCACACGACACGATGGACAGGATAAACAATGCAAAGGCGGGACTTTGTCTCCACAAGGACTGTGCAGTGGTCACTCTTACTGACACTGTCATGGACAGATGCATGTGTAGCACGGAGGCTGGAGAGATTGAGGTCAAGTACATTTTCCCGCTTATTGGTTTTCCTCACCACCAACCACAAGTACATTTTGCACCCTTGCCACCTTGAAGTATTGTTCAACTTGGAAAAGTAGTGATTCATCAGCTAAGGGAGGACAGCACATGGCAAACAGCAAGAGGTTTCTTTATCCATGTTTAATCTAATACCATGAGACTTCATGGGATTCCTTTGGTTCAGGAAAGGTACCTGCATATGAGACTCTCTATCTAATGAGCATAAATGAGTATAAGACTGATTGTCAGAGTAGTTATTAACACACTTTGGATTGTTCAGCAACTGCTGTCCAATCATAAAATCACAAAAATATTTTTTAAACTTTGTAAGCACGAGCATGCTCTGAGCTAGATATACTCTGCCTGGTATGAACAACCAAAGGAACAAGCTACTTGATTCAGCCAATTGGTTGAGCAAAGAACTCCCCCCATCCCAGTTTCTTTCGGTTGGAGGGTTGTAGCCAGGTGTTTAAATGGAAGTAAGAAGACTTGAATCAAAAATTCGGTATGGGCACATTTGACCAGCTTTTGCAATAAGTTTTCAACTGGTTGCACGGATTAACAACACACACCAAAGCTGAAGAATCAAATACTGGACTGTGAATTTGTTCTTCCCATTTTCACTTTTGCTCATTTAATTTATTTCACACTCAGATTTGTACTCATCGTAATCTTATCCCAGATGAACCACAAGCAGCCTAAGTGTAAAACATAAAATGGTGCAAAATCTGATGACCAAGTTTAAAAAAAAGACACCTTTTAATGTCTCATTACTGCAATTGTAGTAATAAATTAGAACAAAACCAATCCAATAGGATTGGCCTCCTTCTCTGCTGTCATTCTTTAATTCTATAAAAACACAAAAGCCGATAATGTCCTTAGTCACTTTTGTCAAGTCTGTCTCCAATCAAAATCAAAACAACCACATTACAACATTGTGCTGAATCTCAAGAAATCTAAATTTAAATTCCAGCCTCCTCTGAGCAAATCTGATATGGTTATCAAAAGACTGGCTTGCCTGAAAAAGAATTCTTTTATATGACCTACTTAGATATAGCTCCTCCTTTTTCTGTAAATTTAATGTCAAAAGCTATAATAAAACAAAATGTGAATGTCATTTTCGGCACAGCAGATATTTTTAAAAATTCCCATTCACACCAAAAATAATCCACACTCGAAGGTCCTATCCTAACTGCTCTAATATCTACTGGGCGTATAAAAAGTCAGCTGGTAGCATTCAGCCATCATTTTGAGGTGCTTTGTCCAACAGGGGAAACAATCGAATTAAAAGAAATTTTGCAGAAAAGAATGTGCTCCATGCAACGAATCTGTTATATGGACAAGATATTGTTTTGACTGTACTTACAAATTTTAGTTTTCATTTGATTGGCAAGGATTCCTTGTTTACAAGTTTATACTCCAGCAGAAAGGAAAGAAGAGAATGAGTCATGTGAACAGTCTGAAAAGTTAAGCTTTTGCAGTTGTATACAGTTGGAATTCAGAAATTGAAAGACAATTCGGTTATAGACAGCTAATAAGCCTCTGCAGTAACAGATGTAACAAATTACA